GATTCCGCGGGTTTTGCGCTTCCCATTGATCCGGCCGTGGATCCGGCAGCGGATTCCGCGGGTTTTGCGCTTCCCATTGATCCGGCAGCGGATCCCGTCGAGCCAGCGGCGGCTTCCACTGATCCAGGGGCGGCTCCCACTGATCCAGGGGTGGCTCCCACTGATCCAGGGGTGGCTTCCACTGATCCAGGGGCGGCTTCCACTGATCCAGGGGTGGCTCCCACTGATCCAGGGGCGGCTCCCGTGCATCCCGCGGCTCCGTCGGGGGCTCCCTGTGCCAGCAGCTCCCGGCCCCGCTCCAGCAGCTGCTGCAGCGGCCCCGCGCGTCCCCCCAGCGCCCCTCGGATGGCTTCGAGCTGGCTCAGCATCCGCAGGGCCCCCGGCAGGTCCCGGCCCAGCTCCGGGCAGCGCAGGAGCCGCTCCTGCTCCCGCATCCAGGCCTCCTCCTCGCCCGCGTCCCACAGGAACTTCCAGAGGCGCCGGGAGCGCTCCAGCCGCAGCCGCCGCTGCTCCGACAGCGCCGACAGCCCCCGGTAACGGAGCTCCAGAGCCGCCACGCGGGCCCGCAGCTGCTCCGGGGGACACGGGCGGTACCCTGGGGGGCACGGGCGGGGGTCAGCGGGGCTGGCGGGTCTGGGGGTCGCACGGCTTGGGGGTCCTGGGGTCTGGAATCCACAGGGTTTAGGGGTACGGTGTTTAGGGATCCAAATTTTTGTGGGTCCCAGGGTCTGAGATTGAGGGATGCCAAAGATTTGGGAGACGCAGCGTTTTGGGAGGGCTGTGGGTCTGGGATTTGGAGGTCCCGGTGTTCAGGGATTCGGTGTTTGGGGGGGGGGGTCTCGGTTTTTGGGGCTCCCAGTTTATGGGAGTCTGTTTTGGGGTTTTGCTAGGTCCCAGTTTTGGGGGTCTCAGGTGAGTGGGGGTCCTGACATTCAGGTATCTCTGAGTTTGGAGATTCCAGGGCATCCCAGGGATCCCAATTTTGGGGGTCTCAATTTTGGGGAGGGGTCACTCACCGCCCCCCTCCCCGAGGAAGCGCTCGGCCGCCGCCCCCACACTCCGGACCCTCTCAGCCTGGGCCGCCACGTCCCCCTCGACCAGGGCGTGGATCTGCAGCAGATCGTCCACCTGGCTCAGGTGCTGCCCGAAATCCCGCGACTGCAGCCGCACCTGGGGACACCGGGGGGGTCACGACGGGGGGGGATCCCATCGTGGGACCCCCCCCCCCAAATTCCCTTCCCCACCTCCATCTCCTCCATCCAGCCCATCAGGTGCTCCAGGTCGCGCAGGAGCCGCTGCAGCTCCAGGTGCGCCCGCAGCCGCTCCCGCCGCGCCGCCACCTGCGCCCGCAGCGCTTCCCAAAGCGACACGACGTGGTCGCGCCGCGTCGCGATGCCGCCCATGTCGTGATAGCGCTCGGCCTCCAGCTCGGCGGCCACGGCGGTGACGGCGCGGACGCGGCTGCCGTAGGCGGCGATGTCGCTCTCGATGGC